CAGCAATCCCATTACTGGACATCTATTCAAAAGAACAAAAGATATTATATAAAAAAGACAGCTGCACTAGAATGTTTATAGCAGCACAATTCACAATTAGAATGATTGGAAACAACCCAAGTGCCCATCAATCCATGAATGGATTAATAAAATCTGGCCTATGTATATTTTGAAGTTCTACTCAGCTACAGAAAGCAATAATGATAATGCACCTCTTTTATTATCCTGGATAGAGCTGGACCACACTACTAAATGAAGTATACCAAGAATGGGAAAATAAGCACTACATGTACTCACTATCAAATTGGTATTAATTGATCAACACTTAAGTGCTCATATAGTAATAACATCAATGGGTGTTGGGTAGATGGGAGGGGGAGGAGGAGGTGAGTATATTCATACCTAATGGGTGTGGTGTGCATCATCTGGGGGATGGAAATGTTTGAAGCTCTGACTCAGGTAGGGTAAAAGGAAACATATGTATCCTAAAAATTCATAATTTGTACCCCCATAATATGCTGAAACTAAAAAAATAATAATAATAAATGCAGAGTAAAACAAATAAAATGATAGGAATGGTGTTCATAAAATATTGTGTGTTTTTTTAAATACTTGCTAAGCCAAGAAGTGAAAAAGAAAATAGACCTAATGTAAGTTTGATTATTTTTTCATTTTTTGTTTCACAATCCATTACCCTGCTTAAAAATAACAAATCAAAAATGAGATAGTTAAGCATATAAAGGTATCCTTTACAAAAAATATTTGTTGACCACTGCTTTTTTGTGTTAAAACATACTATGAACATTGAAAGTCTAAATGCCACAAATCATTCCCCATATATTATTACATCAAATGTATAAATAAAAAAACACTAATAGATTAAAAAATAGTCAAAATTGCAACTCTATAATGAGTAATTAACCTACTTATCACTCTCCATGATGGATCAAATATAAAAGCAAAAGGAAGCATAGAGCAAATCTATTAATAAATAACATAACTGACAGTAAATTTAACAGTCAAATTTATAACAGGGTAAGGATTCAGGCAATTATATATTGTTAGCGAATTTAGATGTTGACTCAATGGAGAACAACTTGTCATTACTCATCAATGACTACAATTCTATTTCAAGAATTTGTCTTGAATGTACATTTTCACACGATGCAAAACTTTGTGTACCAAGATTTTCTTTGTAGCATTGCTTGTTATAGTGATTATAAACAAAAATTCAAAATATAATACAAATAAAACTAGAAATAACCTAAAAGTTAATCAAGAAGAAGTAATTAATAAATTTGAAGGTAGGTATAATTTAGTTATTAATAAGAATTAGGAAAATTTATATGTCTTCTAGAAATATTAAGGGAAAAATAGAAGCAAAAGGAAAAATAAAATTATATACACTCATGTAAGTGAATGCATACAATATTTCTGAGTGGTTATGTGTATATGTATATGTATAGGCAAATTAGATGAGCTTATCTTTCAGAATTCAATTTGAGGATCAGGGTTGGAAAAGATTGATTTTTTAAGTTCTTTTTTTAAATTATATGTTGTTATTTTGATAATAATGAGATATTTAACTTTGAAAAAATGTAGATGTCTCACCTAAATAGTAGTACTACTGTGTTGGAGTTCTGTTGGTAGATTAACATGAAATGTGTCAGAACCAAGAGACTATCTGTGCTTATTTATATACTCACCATGAGCATAGTCACCCATAAGTAGGGTGAAACTGTTTGCCACCATGAACATTAATGTAATGGAAATTAATCATCTATTTCTCTTGGAAAAGTTGTGTGGACTCAGCTGAAAGGTTCAATTTCCTGCTTTGCTTCTGGGATCTCACGACCAAGAACTATAACTACCTGTTTGTATAATTTTGTAATATCTGAGCAATTCATGTCCGGAGACAGTGGGCTGCAGGCCTTCACTTTCCCTCATTTTATTTAATGAGATATTCAACTTGGATATCTCATTTCACACTTGTTTTCTCTCACTGCAGGTGATGTGGCACTCATCACATCCCTAAATGTAAGCACATCGGCACCTACTGACTATTTTACACATTTTCTGAGTATTGATTCAATAAAATGTTTTTTTTTTAGTTTTGTTTTTTTTTTAATGTGTTGTTGTGGGATGAGAGTAGTTGAGGCAGGCCCGCGAGGAGATTAGCTACTTCTCCCTATGGAGCCAAGTCCCTAAGATAGGGGTAGCCACAGAGGATAAGAAATTGATAGGCAACAGAGAGAAATAAAAGAATACACTGAGACTAAGGTATAGTTTATAGTTTTATTAGATAGATAGATAGATAGATAGATAGATAGATAGATAGATAGATAGATAGATCAGATAAAACACAGCAGGAGATTCCTAGGGGTCTGGCGAATCCCCACAATCACCAGCAAAAATGGTTAGATTCATTCATACAGGTTTTTATAATCACAGACATCAATTACCAGTCGTCAGGGTAACATATTTGCATATCAGGGAATGCAGTTGCTAGGGCATACAGGTAGTGGGTTAGGGTCAAAAGTCTTCTCAAGGGGCTTCTAATCTATCTAGGTGAACAAACAGGTACAAAGTCTTTCAGAAGCTAGTTTCTAAGTTCTAAGAAGTAGTTGTCAATTAACAAAGGTAAAACAAAAGAGGTATAGTGACTCAATATATCTTTGATTCATTATGGTGAACTTAAAGGTAGACAGACAGGAGAGAGCAGGAAGCCCATCTCTAATAAAACTGGTTGTTTATAACCACCGGGGCGCTTCTCTGGGCAAAGTGCAGTCGTTGTCTCTGGCTCCCATCCTGTGGGCCATGTTTGTCTTGTCTTATCTTTCAAGACACAGGGAAGCTCACAGATTTTGAGATACCGGGAAGCCTTCCTGGAAAACATCCCCACCGGAAATTTGAGAGCTCTCCCATGATAGCAGCCTCTAATAAGTGAACCATTGAGTCCACACATTCCTGCAGGGCAAAACCCTGCAAACTCCTGTTTCTGTCTTTAACATAGTAATGTTGGGTCATACAATAAAATAATGGTCTTATGAGCCACATCTCATTAATTTCTCGATCATATTTTCCCAACATGTTGTTGATTTTCTTTTTCTCTCAACGCTATGATTCAGTTTTCTCTTTTTTTAATCTTAAGGGAACCTATAATTAGGAAAGCAAAGCCTATACTTTAAAACCTAATGAAGAAACTATGTAGTTCTCATTATAAAACAAAATACAGTTTGCATGGTGTATCTTGACACCTATGGAAACTCAACATATAGAAATTATAAGTTTGATAGGGTTCTTATATTTCTGTATGTTGGATCTCCAGGACTGAAAGACACGTGACAGGCAAAACTACGTCAACCACCTATGAGCAACTAGAGCAACCTGCAAGGTTAGAGCTGAGGAAGAACGTTCAGTACAACTGCCACCCCCATCTGGTAGAGGAGTAGCTGGTAGTCAGCACGATTGCCTTTTATGTGTTAAGCAATTTTCCCACCTATGTTCAGGCTTCTCTGACAATTAGGCTGATCCTCCAGGAAGGTGACCTTCTATGAATCCATAGCTTCAAAGAGCAGAGTGGGCTTCTGAGTTATGGTGCCTACTAAGCCTTTACATTTAGGGCACTAGGAATTGGAACACTGAGGTGTAAGTCAGTGGGTTATTAGTTTTGCAGCAGTGACATACCGTATCTCTGGAAATGTGAAGTCCATTTGCCAACAGGAGCATGAAACAGCCAATACGCTGGCTTGCAAAGAAAGAAGGACGCGGCGTGTGTGCAGAGAGGAAAGAGAGAGGAGCAGCATGCGTCCTAGGAGAAGCAGAGGCTCCTGTGACTTTCCACTCCAATCCTGGCTGTCTCTGAATCCTTTCTAAGTGACAGAAAACCTAACCCAAACTTCTGAAAGCCAAAATCAGAATTACTTATTCACAAGATTAAAATATTAGGGGTAGTTTTAGGTGAGGTTTGATCTGGAACCCAATTGATTTTCCAACATCATTTTGTTTTCTATTCCTTAATTCTACTTTCTTAAAACCTACTCCATTCTGACACAGTCTCATTCTCTGTAGTGCCAAAATTGTTGTTAATACTTCTTGATGCTAATTTTGAGTTAAAGTACAGAAGTAAAGGGAGAAAATATATTTTGTAGAAGTCCATTGAAATTCTCATTGTGTTTACCAACTCAAATTGAGGACTTGAACCTAAATTCTGTATCCAGGGTTGTTATTTATTTATTTTTTATGTTTTAATATTTATTTATTTATTTTTTAAATTTATTCAGGGTATTATGGAGGTACAAACATTTTGGTTATATGTAATGTGTTTGCCCTGCCCAAGCCAGGGCTACAAGCGTGTCCCTCTCCCATACAATGTGTCCTGCTTTCATCAGGGTTGTTATTACATGAACTGTTTGTGTCCTCCCCAAATTTATATGTTAAGGTTCCAATCCCAAATATGACCGCTTCTGGACCTTTAGGGTGGCAATTAACTCTGATCTGGATTCTGAACAGCTCTGCTTACATATTCCGAAGAAACCACAAACACAACATATCCAGAGTTGAAATTGTCATTTCCCCCACAGAGCTCTTTTCTCAGGCGCACCCCTCTCTGTTCTCTTTCCTACGCCTCTTTCAAGTCCAGAATCTGGAAAACATCCTGGAGAGGCCTTTGAGGTAACATCGTTCTACATCCTTAGTATGTTTTGGTGTGATTCACATGTTTTTATTCTCTCCAACATTATTTACGGTTAGGATATCACTTATCTGTTAAGCCATATTGCTGCTCTCAAAGACAGTCAATGTTCAGATGCAGAGACATTTGACCACTTCATTTCCCTGCAGAATACTCCTAGATGATGTTGCTTACTGAATGCAGATTCCTAACCATGTAAGCAAATTTCTTTACAGTAGAGGCCTTAAATGCCCTTTTATCTTCTGATCCTACTCACTTCACATCCTCTGCTCTGCCAGACTGGTTATTTCCTTCAATTCAAGCCTACCTTTCAGAACTGATCTGAGGTGTGACCTCCTTCTGGGGACTTCTTTGACTACTCTCTCTGGTGGGTCTGAAGTAGTCAGGTCTCTGCTGTCTGTGCAGGACACGGTTACATCACATTCCTTTCTGCATCACAGTTGTCTTTTGTCTTATTTGTCTCTCTCACTGATTACATAGTACTAGAGGCAATGGGCGGTGTGGTTTTTGTTGGAGTTATTTATGTTTTAATTTTTTTTTATTCCCCAGTACCCAGCACTGTTAATGGTACACAATGGAAGTTTAAGAAGAGCTTCTTCTTCTACCACATCCTCAACCGGTGAGATGGAAGTGGTAGCCATGCCTCCTGGGGGCGGGTGGAGTGGGTATATGTCTTCACAGCTTTCCAGATGAACTGTGAGATATTAAATGTCTTGGTAAAGCTCAGACACTAATTTTGAAGGGATTCTACCCAAATACTAATTACAGGATTCACTTCCTGTAATAATATAGGAAGCTTTGTAACACATGCAAATTGATGACTTCCAAAGTTGAAAAATAACCTGAATATATGCATATTTAGTTCAATTATAGCAGCTTATTCTTGAGGCTAGTTTAGGAGAAAAGATAATCATCTGTAGACAAATGTAATTTTGCGGTGAATAAGCCTCTTAAGATTAGAGAATTAAGACTGACATTAATTATATATGTCATTATTGTATTTAACTCCTTGGTTAGGAAAAAAAAAGACATACATAATGATGGTGAAAATTACCAGTATTTATTCAGGTTACAGTTAAAAATCTCCTTTCTCACATCCTTAAGGAATGCCATCTGGCTTGAAATACTGAAGCTTGCTAAATGCTCTCTAATAACAAGAGTATATTGAACTGATTTGAAGAGGACTTTTTTTTTCTTTCCTGAAAGCAAGAATGCAAGTAATCTCTGTAATTCTAATTATCATATTCTGTTTTTGTAAATGGGAAGCTATCTTTTTATTCTCTCTTTCTCTAGATTTGCTGAAAATACACATTCTAGGCAAAGCACACATCTGGAATCGACTACCTGAATCACCTTCTTGCCTGCCAATTTTTGTTCAGTGTTCCTGACACTTTGCTGTATTTAACATTGACTCCTTGATATAGTGTAGTCATTCCAAAATGTTCAGGTAATTAAATGGGTAAAAATCCAATGTTTCTTTCTCTGGAATTGGTTATGGCGAAGTGCTAGGGTGGAAGAGCATGGAATTAGGGAAGGCAAAGCCTTGGCTTTGCTTTTGCCATGCCATTGACAAGCCTCTAAATCTTCATGTAGCTGAACCTTCTCCTTAGCCAAAAAGGGATAAAAGTGTCACCCATTGTTTCCCATGGCTAATTACGGACTTTGGGCAGTGTAATACATTACATGAAATGCTTTCTCTTTTCACTTCTGAGAACTTTCAGCAATCTCAAATTTTATCTTTATTTTATGAAAGTTTGCCCCATATTTTGGCTATGAGCTCCTTGACAGTACACGTACATCTGTGTTACTTGTGCTGTAGCCCCAGTATCTAGTTCAGTGCCTAACAGATGGAAGTATCTTGGTAAATATTTGTTGAATATTGGAAGGAATATTAGAGTTTTAATTAACAGCCCAATAACATCAATAGCCCAATGTTTGGCTTCACAAGTAGATGGAGAAATACCTTAATGTTTTCTGAGTACAAAAGGTAATGATAGCATGATTGAGGATATGTTCAGTAGTTCTCGGTGATGTGTTACACACACACACAATAAAAATTTAAATATAGAAAATAATCACTATTTACTCGTGGTGCTCATTGTAGTAGTGTTTAGGTGCTGAGAATTCTTTGAGCTGAACCCATCAGGAAATGCTGAAACCTGAACTTGCTTACATTTAAGTTGCCCTACACTAATGTCCTTGCAATATTGGAATACCAGACATTTCTTAATAACAGATCTTGAGAAGCTATGTAAGTTGATCCTTTCCTTTCAGAAACTGGATACCAGAAGTCTTAATACATGAACTCACCCATAGCAAACAATTAATTGAAATGAGCCATGAAGGTCTTAGGAAGCCAGTAATCTCTAAAATGATTCTCTGAGAGTGTCAATCATTTTTTAAAAATAGCTTTATGAGTGTATAATTATTATATAATAAACTACATATATTTAATTTATATATTTTGATGAGTTTGGACATATGTGTACACTCATGAAACCATTGCCACTATCAGGGAAATAGATATATCCATCCTTTCCAAACATTTCCTTGGGCCCTTTTAGGATTTTTATTTGTTTGTTTCTTTTGTTTTGTTTTGTATTAATAGTAAGAATGCCTAATATGAGGGAGGGTGCCCTCTTAAATTTTAAGTTCACAGTACAGTACTGTTGTCTACAGGCACTACACTATAGCAAATCTCTAGAAGTCAATCATCTTGCATATATGAAACCAGTTACACAACAACTTCCATTTTCCTCTCCCTTGGTCCCTGGTAACCATCATTCTATTCTCTGCTTCTGTAAGTTTGACTATTTTAGGAACCTAAAATGATGATGTTTCAAAATAGAGGAAAAATGATAGACTAAGGTCTTATGGAAAAGTAGATTGGAGCCAAACCACTAGAATAAGTAGCATCAATGACATCTGCAAGGTGAATGGAAAGTATTAACTTTTTCCATAATATAGACTTTGGTGTGACACCTTACTCTTAAATAGCTAGCGCTTTCCTCTCACCTACCCTCGAAATAAAAATTAAGACATTACACTCAGCTCCGACCTGCTTTATGCAAATCCCTGACCCAGAACTCGGCATATAATCTTTAAAAAGTTTATTTGGAACAGGGTAAAAAGTGCTGACAGTTTTAAATGAAAAGGTAAAAGTAAAATTTATCTCTTTTTGGCATACAGGTCTACAAATTTTAGTAAGTCTATAGATTCTCATAACAGCCACATGCAGGATGCAGAGCAGTTCCATCAGCACAGAACACTGCATGTTATCTCATCCCCTTTTGTCACACGAACCCCCCCACTAACCCTGACAACACTAACATGCTGTCCTTCACCTGAGTTTTTGAGGATTGTAAATGACATCATATGGTATATAAGCTTCGAGACAGGCTTCTTTCACTCAATGTAACACCATTGAAAGTGTCTTTGAGATCCTCCCAAGCTATTCTGTACACCAAGAGTTTACTCCTTCTTGTCACTGAGTAGTATTCTACTCCATGGGTGTTCCTCAGTGTGTTTACCCACTTGCTTGTCAGACATACTGGGTTGCTTCCATTTTTGGCTATTGTGAATAAAGGTGCTGTGTACTTCATACATAGATATTTTTGTGAACACACATTTTCATTTCTCTAATGCAAGGACAAGCAAACTAAGTCTCACAGATTAAATGCAGCCCACTACTTGATTTGTCAATAAATTTTATTGGAATGTGGCCATGTTCACTTGTTTACAAATCATAGCTGCCTTCAGGCTACAGTTGAGTAATTGTGGTAGAGATTTTATGGTCCTTAGAGTCTGGCTTCTTGTATATCTTCAGCTGGGGGCTTTTCACAATGACTATAGGCTGCCGGGTTGCTTTTTGCCACGTGAGTTTTCACTCTATGGCTTCTTACTTCATCACGTCAGCAAGGAGAATCTTGCAATCACACGAGTGACATCTCATCTACTATGTCATATTCTGTTAGTTATAACCAAATCAGAGGTTCCGCCCACACTCAGGGGAATTGCATAAAGAAGTGAACCCCCAAAGGTAGAGATTACTGATTGTAAGACTATACTTGTTGACATTGTATCTGAAAAGTGGACATTGAAGTCTCATTTGCTTATCTTTTTTTTTTTTTTTTTTTTTGCCTAAAGAAGAATATATTTGAATATTTTCTTTATGCTAAGCTACTATGTTTGGTGCTTTCAAATATTAGGTAATTTATTTTTTATCTCAATCTGTGAAATTGTGTTCTTATTTCCATTCTACAGGGGGTAAGAAAACTGGAACCCAGAGAAAACATGTAATTTCCCGTTATTACACAGCAAATAAGCTAAGTGAAGATTTAAGCCCTGATGTAATTGATTCTAAAGTTAAAAGAAAGCCAAGTATTCCTTTTAAGTGAAGAACAACAACAAAATCACTTCCTTAAAATGCAAATGAAGTTTCAAGAGCATATGATCCTCTTACTATCTGAAGAATATCTTAGATGAATTCAGTAACATGCAATTATGTCAAAAGATAGGAATGTATGTAAACATACGAATGGTGAGATGTTTGAAACCATAAACTGGGGAAGGGGAATAAACAGATTTTGGTCTGGTAACATTTCATTCCTTTTGCTGTCAAAACTTAAAGTTTAACTGACCCAAAGTCACTATGAAAAAAATACAATAAAAGCAAACTATTACTAACAACAATAAAAAGAACAACAAAACAAGATATTTTGTACATCTGAGGAAGTGGTTAATGATGTACATCACAAACAAGGGAGAGATTGTATAATAATGGGGCTACCACACACTGTTAACAAAGTTAAAATGGGTACAATGTAGTTGTAGAAGCCCCTTTTAATATTAATGCAAGGAAATGAGCACTACCTTTTTCCTCTTTTTTTCTAAATTGTTTTCAACTCTGAGTCTTTAAACTATCTAACACATCTAGGAAAAGACGTTGTCCCTCAGCTTTGTGGCTGTGCCATTCCTATGGAGATAAACAACTAACAGTGGCTTGCCTCGTTTGGCCAGACTTGAGCTTTGAGTGAGGAATTTGATTCTTAGTGTTTGTCTTTTCCCATTTCTCAGGAAGGATGCCCCATTCCAATCTGGCACTGAGGATTCAAGCTTCAAAACAGACGTAGATTATACAAACTTTAATGGGCAAGAGTTACTATAATGATAATTTTAAAAATCTGAGATTTTTATTTCACTTTCAGTTAATCCCTATTAGTAGGAGAAGCAAATGGGTTGGTTCCATCCATCTTCTGTATGAAAAAATTATGGTATAAAGATAGAGCAACATTTATGGTTATCAAGTGACTGAGACCAAATTCCTAGTATCCAAATCACAACTATTTCCATGATTAAAAGCTGCCAAAGAAGATAAAATTCCCACTGCTAACTCACCCTCTTAGTGGATTTTTGGACTTCGTGGCAAAAAAAAAAAAATGCCATGGTCTTCTGCAATTTATATTCATTAAGAGTTCCAGGATTGGTGATAGTGTTAGAGGAATTATAAAATGACAATTAATTCTATGTTCAGAGAGAGCTCTTTTCCTCCCCCACAGAACAAATAATTCAATTACAATAACACATTTAACAATAATGCAGTACTTTAGTGTGAGATTGCTTTGGCATCATTAATTAATGCATTACCTCAAGAACATGCATCTCCATGCTGCGTGTGTCTTCAGTCTGCCTGTCTCTTACAGCATAAACAGAAATAAAGAGAACATCTCAGCAGAGCTGTCCTTCTTGGTACAAACAGCATGACTCAAAGCATGGGTGAGGTTAACTCATGTCTAGCAGCATTTGCCACAAATGCCATCGAATTTGTTGACTACTCAGCTTAGTTTGGCATTTTTTCTAAATCTATTTTCAGTAGCTTACTTTTAATTGGAGATTAAAAGTCAATGGGTAGATTAAGTTTAATTCCACTGAGATGTGAATAGTGACTTGCTTTATCAGCTCTGCCTACAGAATTCCTGTGTTCACATTAACTAAATGTACTTTATTTTCTTCTTGTCTGTATATTCTAAGATACTGTAATGCAGAGTCCAAGCAAAAACCTGACTAAAAATATAAAATGTTTCATCACTGTCCAACAAAGTGACTAGGAAGACAAATCTCTTGGGAGCTTTAAGTTTACACTGAGATATATTTATCTACAGAGATGATGCAATGACTGGAAGAAGTAAAAAAGAAAATGCAAGATATAAAAATTTTAACTTAAAAAGATGATAATAAAAGCATTCTTGTGAATAAAGTAATGGACTTAATCATACTTTTATATAAAAAGAGAATGCTTTTATTAATTGATTGATCAATGAGAATGTCCTATTAGAGTATATTTTCCTAATGCCTAATATTAATCGAGGACCTAGTCTGTCCCACACTATGCCAGACATGCCAGATACTGTAACAATAGCAACCCCCAAAACCTGCTGAGCGTTAAAATCATGCATGCTTTTAGGTTTTTGTTTGCTTGTCTGTTTATTTGTAAAACAGATATTACAACTTCTCAATATATCAGCCTCAATACATCAGAATCTGTACTGCAGGTGTGACAAAGATGGAATTTATAAATTTGATAATCTTCTTAGGTGATTCTGATGCCACCATAAGAACCCTTGTCTGTGGAAGCTCGTGTTGTATGGGATGAGAAAAAAAAAGCTTCCTCGCTGTCATGTGTTATCCTGATAAATCACACAAATGCATCTTATTGTTCCTTTGATAAATTGGGGCTAAGGATCTGTCCTGGGGTGACTGAAGTAATATCTGAGGGCCAATCCTGGTTCTGCTCCTGCTTTCATATGTCCTTAGGGTGAAGATTCCTTTAATATGTATATTTTACATGTTGGAACAAATTCAAAAGAACAATATTTCATAACATGCAAAATTTATATGAAATTCAAATGTCAGTGTCTTTAAATAAAGTTTTATTAGAACACAGCCACAGCCATTTGTTTGCATATTGCCAATGGCTGTATTCATGCTATAATGACAGATTTGCATGTGCTACAGAGACTGTAACGTGAACCAGAAAGCTGAAAATATTTAATATCCAACTCTTTACAGAAAAGGTTTAGGGGTTTACTGACAACCTCTACTTTGAAAAAAAGACCAAAGCATATGCTTTGTCAAACACTTTAGTGAGAAACAGGAGGTGAAAATTCATCCCAAATCCAGTATGGAATGTGTTGTCTATTGGGTTAAATAAGTAGGAAATGTCTGATTTCCTTAAGTGCTAAGTTTGACAGTTGGTATCTCTGACATTTCACTTTGATACTTCTTGTTTTATGTTTATTGTGAAGGTACAGCGTCAGTCTTTGAAACATACATTTTGGCTTGTGATTATCTATCAAATTTTTTAGAGCAATTTTTGTGAAACTATGGATAAGTAAAAAATTTGTGTTATTTTCAAATGAATTCCATCATGGAACCAATACAGCACAGACAGCTTGAAATATCAACGGAGTGTTTGGGAAGGATATGGCTGATGAACACACAGTACGTTGATGGTGTGAGTTTTGTTCTAGTGATTTTAATTTTGAAAATAAACCACGTGGTTGACCTGAGACCAAGGTGGATAATGATGAGCTGAAAGCTGTAGTGGAAGCGAATCCATCTCCACCTACTTGTGAATTAGCAGCAAGCTTTGATGTTACTATTTTTAAAATACTGGATCATTTAAAATAAATTGGCAAGGTAAAGAAGCTGGATAAGTGGGTTCTGTATGAATTAAATGAGCACCAGCAGAGAAATCGGCTTGACGCTTGCCTTTCTTTGCTGTCACGACAAAAAGGCCAATCATTTATACACCATATTGTTACACGTGATGAAAAATTGATTCTTTTTGACATAAGTGTTCAGTACAATAGTTGGATAAAGATGAAGTGCCAAAATACAATCCAAAACCGAATATTCATCAACAGAAGCCAGTAGTGTCTGTTTGGTGATCCAGTGCTGGTATTATCCACTACAGCTTCATGAAACCTGGTCAACTGATTACAGCTGATGTCATCTGCAACCCACTGGATGAAATGATGAGGATGCTTGCAATTTAGCAGCCAAGATTGGTCAACAGAGACAGGCCAATCCTCTCGCAAGGCAATTCTCAACCACATGTCACACAAAAGACATTCCTCAAACTACAGAGGCTGGACTTGGAAACTCTTTGTCATCCACCGTACTCACCAGACCCCACACCAACTGACTGCCACTTCTTCCAGGAATTGGACCACTTCTTGTGAGAAAATATGTGCCATTCATCACAAGCAGTGGAAAACGCCTTTTGCTATTTCATTGCCACTGGCTCTCCAGGCTTCTTCACTCTGGCATAAACAAGGTGCTGTTAAGATGGCAAAACTGTGTCAGGAGATGAGGCGCATACTTTAATTAATTGTAATGCCTCCTGTTTGAGATATAATAGACTACGCTTTTGATTCAAAGTTGGACATTTCATATTTAACGACCTAATATTAGGAAAGGAAGACTTGACTCTTTACCTTCTGTTTTCAGAAGTCCACAGCTAGAAAGGTGTCCTCTAGGAGTGTGGTTTTCAAAGTGTCCTTGGAATAACAGCATAAGCACTATTTCAGAACATGCTAGAAATGCAAATTCTTGAGCCTCACCCTAGACCTACCAAATCAGGCATTCTGAGATCGAGGTCAGCAATGTCTGTTTGAACAAGCCCTACAGAGCATTCTCACACACATTCGCAGAGCATGGAGACCACTGTTTGAGAACCATCGTGTTAGGAAACATTGAGAAAGAAATCTGAAAACAAGTATAACCATGTGCATGCATGCAATCATTTTGCAATCAAATAGACAGGTCCATTGTTCTGGTCACTGCTTGATGTTAACAAAATAAGGAAATTTCCCAGCAAATATACACAAAAGATTAGAAAAATAAAAGTAAATTATATTTGGTGTGTTGGGAAACAAAGTTATGAAGTGCCTGAGCTGAGGTATCAGGATAACAATGACCCCAAATTTTACACTGACACGAGGCTTCTCATAGGCATCAAACAGCGAGTGAAATTGGACATGTTTCTGACATCTGACATAAAAAGCCAATTTATGGGAGATGAGCTACATTCATTGAATATGCAAAAGATGGGATATCATTAACCTAACAGCTCCTCTGCCACTATTCTCTTATCTCATGTTCTCAAGAAATCTTAATAATTCACTGTGAAGATTCTCACTTCTGCAAAGCACATTTCTAACAAGCCTACATTTCAGAAATGTAGTCTTGAAAAGGTTTACAAGGAGAAAAGTCTTGGAAGATGAGATCATAACCCTAAAGTTTCTCCAGATGCCTCAGGACCTTCCCCAGGCAGTGGCAGACCAAATTCTCTCCTCAGGAATCTTGACTGTAATTTAGTTTCTCACAAACAAACAAAGGAAAAACACAAATGCATTTCTGGGTGGCAATGACAATCCTAGTAACAGTAATGGGGGCGTATCACTCATTTACGGAGTCTTCACTGTGTGCTATGCCTTGTTCCAGAAGTTTCCTGTAGAGTATTACAATTTATCTTAACAGAAACCTGGTGAGCTAGGTATTAAAGTCTACCTCTTAAAGGTTTTTATTTTATTTT